GGAAGGAAGGAAGGAAGGAAGGAAGGAAGGAAGGAAGGAAGGAAGGAAGGAAGGAAGAAAGGAAGAAAGGAAGAAAGGAAGAAAGGAAGAAAGAAAGAAAGAAAGGAAGAAAGAAAGAGAAGGTGCTAGATAAATAATGTCAGAGTTGCTCTCACCAGACCAGCACCATAATGCAGACATTGACAGTGTGCTGCCAAGAAGCCATGGGGAGATTCAGAAAAAAACAGTGGTCAGCAGTGTCAAAGGCCAGAATAAGAATGTGAACGATATGCCTTGGATTTGACAGGACATTATCACCGCCTTTTGTCTGGCCCGAAAGGCACACTGCTTGTATACATACATAAGAATATGTATATAGGAATAAATATGTTTTTATACATATATATATATATATATATATATATATATCTAACAAAATATATGTGTGTGCTATGATTTACAATTAAAAAGCACGAATAACATGACATTTGGGAGAATTCCTTTGGCTAGAACCACAGAGAAAATTTAACAAGGCCGATGACATTTAATGTGAAACACAGTAAGTAGAGTCTTGGCAGACAGACTTGGGGCTAAGCTATGTCCTACATTCAGAGGAAAGTGCAGCACAGAAGGAGAAAAGTTGACAGAGAATGGGGATAGTCAAGTTTTGGGGAGCCTGTCACAGACTGCTGAGGGGAGTGGTACATGGGTATTACCAAGAAGGTTGATGATATACTGGTGGTTCACTTATCAATAGCCATTGTGAAAGTTTTATTCACTAAAATGGGCCGTGAATTTGGTTTAGCAGTGTCCTTGTGAGCTATGTTTCATTTGTTCATTTGCATTTATCAGAAATTTAAAGAAAATGCATCTGAAGTGAACTAAAGTAGATTTTTCAGAAAACTCTTTTCTTTCTCCATGAAAGTCTTTGACTTCTTTGGCACTGAAACTTTTTATCTTTGAGATAGGAGAATGAGCTCCATCACTCCTCAAGTTCTTCCTAAATACAGCTCAATGATATGGAAAAAAGTGTTGTTTTTTAAAAGCACCTAAGTATGCATATATAATCAAATCATTTAAGTACTCACTGATTTTTTTTATTATTATTAAACTAATCATGAAGTTCTTACATTCTATTTTCATGCTTGGGTTTTTAAAAGTTGGAGTTCTTTAACTATTTTTGAATAAAACAAGTTACAAAAGGTTATAGATATGCACAATCCAGTAGAGGTTTTTCCTTAGCAGATGTCTTATAATGATTTCATAATTTTGTTAAGTCTGTAAAATTTTAACATGTTAGGGTTGAAGTCATTCTAAGAATGATATATCCATTTCTACATCAGAAAGCCAGGATGTAGAGAGATTTGATGACTTGCTACAGGTCACATGCCCACATGTGTTACAGTTCTGAGTCTATATAGACAAGACCTGGCACACAAACTCATGTGAGCATGGATACCTCTGCTCTTTTTAAGCTTGCTAAAATTTAATCTCTGTTTTTCATTCCCCCCACCCCCGCACTCATCCTGTTAGCTCTGCAAGTGTCTAGACCTCACTCCTGTTGACTTTCCCATGCTGTGTCTAAACTCTCCCACTAGCCAATTGCTTCATTTGCTGAGATGCCTTCTCCTTAGAATGACCCCTGAAACTGTTTTCAGAAAGGTGCAAAGTGATATGGCATGGGACATGTGCTTCCTAAGGATATCAGGAATTTAGTGTGTGTTTGGGGGGGGGCAGGGGAGGTGGGCGGCATGTGTATGCACAAGTCTATGTGTGCATATGGAAGTAGATGTTCATCTGTATGTCTGTAGGACAACCTCTGGCAATATCCTCAGAAACTCTGTCCATCTCCTTTGAGGGAGGGCCTCTCATTGGCCTAGAGTCACCAACTAGACCAGCCCCAGTGAGCCCCAGGGATTATCCTATCTCTTCAGCACCCCAGATGTGAATTGCAACCATGCCACAGATTTCTGAATGTGTTCTGGGGATTTGTCTCTGGTTCTTATCTCTGTGAGGCAAGAATTTAGCGACTGAGCTCTCTCCCTGTCCTGGAATCATATTATGCAGAAGATCAAGGAAGGAACAATGACTAAACAGCTGTGTCTCATACATACAACAGTAGTATAGGACAGCACCATGACAACGATGTCACAAGTTTCTCCTTCATACTTTTAAATAAATGTTATCAACTATAGAAATGTGTTTGGGATATTTTGGGGTGTCACTAACACATATAAGGATTTTGAGAAAATTAAAAACTTGCTCAAACTGCTCACTGAAGCTATATATTGTATTTTGTCCGCAACCCAAACAAACCTTGTTGGAGCCAAGTCGCTGATGCATGCAACTTCCTGTTACCTTTGGCAGCTGTTGAGAACTCCTTTTATACCTGTCTATGTGACCTAGTGATTCTGACAGAGGCTGACCTGCAATGGCTATGTGTATATGATGACAAAGCAATGCTCTTGCAGACTAGGCCCTGAAAGAAGTATCTGGAACTCCATGTGGGGTCAGCATACTTGCAATAGCACAGAAGCTCTTGCCCAGATGTGTGACTGGCAGACAGATGAACATAACAAAGTAAAGGAAGGGACCTAAGTTCAAATACACTGAAGTCCTCCAGCCCCGGCATTTTATTGCTGTCTTTTCTGTGACTCGTTGAGTTTCATGACAAATGTCTACTACATCTTCAGACACCTTTCTGTCTTCTGTGAGAACAATCCCCAAAGAAGCTGGAAATGATGGATCCCATCAGTAAGTAACCCAAACCCTTAAGAGGCTGAGGTAAGGGGATTTTGAGTTCAAGGCCAGCTTTGGCTATATTATAAGAATTTGTTCCAAAAATAGAAATGGGCCAATTCAGCGGCTCTGTATTAAGACAAATTACCTTCCTATACATTAATCCCAAACACAGACCACTGTGGGCCACTTCCTTACAGGGTTCTTTCTGTACAAATAAGCAAACAGTTGTCCTGAAGGCTCCATCTTGACCTTCAAACTCGAAGCACTTTCAAAGAGAGTCTTCCCTTTCTCAAGGTTGATGTGACTGTGCTGTCAGAGCTTCCTAATAGTCTCTCTGTAACCAAATTTTCTTGTGTGTGCACAACAAAGACATCAAGACAGCAAAGTCTGTGTGTGGCTCTGGCCAGCAGCTGCTGGAGAATGCCAACCAAGGGGCTGGAGCCCTGGCCTGAGTGTGATGACAGAGTTTCACTTGTTAGTTGTATACAATAAGTTTCATTTGTACACAGTGTTGGAATTCTGAGTAGAATGACCCACATACAGATGTTCAATTACTGTCATTGTAGCTTCATGTATATGCAGTGAGATTTGGCTCCTAAGGACTAGAAATAGATGGAGTAAACCATAATATCCCAGTCCAATGAAGCTCAATTTTGACCAAATGTCATTAACACAATAACCATGATGGCAAGGAGAAGAGTGGCTGGTTGGAGCACCTAATGACCGCTCAGAGCAAACCAATTTTACCCCTAGACAAAAGTTAGCTATGCTTGCTGTTTATTTTGCCCTTCCACGAAGACCCAATATTACTCACTCATATAAACCACTACTTAAAAACATGATTTTACTTTAGATGAAAATTTTACCAGCGTAGCTTGTCCTTTCCCAACAAATATCTCATCTGCATATATACATGAGCTCATGCCTCTTCTGCACAGCTGTGACATGGGTTGTAGTTTGGGGGGATGCTAGTAGCACATGACCTAGAAATGGAAATGCCGTTGATCCCTCAAAGACAAAGATGATGTTTCCATTTAATAAGTGTGCTGGGCCACTGTCCTGCCATGTGTACTTTCTGTGACTACCACCGTGTTGATCCCGAGGTCCTAGATATTAGGGTTTGCCTTCTAAATGTCCTCATTTGACTTTGAAAAAGAACTCCTCTTCCCTCTTGTCCCTCTCCTTTTGTTCTCTCACACTTTCATGTGTGCTTTCTCACATCAAGATCAGATAATGGCTAGAGCATCCTTGCCTGCTTGCAGCCTCCTCTCAGACATGCTAGGAACAGCAGAAGGCATGTATGTTCCCACACTAATTGAAAATGGTAATTTATATTCTAAGCTTCACCTTATAAAATACTTTGTGAGCTACTAATAGCGATTAAGTAAGGGTGATATGGTTTAATAAAACATATATAAACAAAGAAAGTAATTAAACCATCCTATACCAAGTGCTATGTTGTTAATATAATAATTACTTTAAGCGGGGACCTGAGATAAAACCAGAAAGTATCATTATGTCAGGTGAAGATCACGACTTGCTGAAAAATAAAAACACTATTAGTCAGATTATTTCAGTGAAAACAAGGAACATTAGTAATCATACCAGGAAGGGTGTTCTTAAAACTCCATTCCTTTCTTTTCATTTACAAAAGTAGCATTTACTTATTTCAGGAAATTCATGATCTCAAAATCATGTAAATGAAGAGATGAATGATCATTTTATTGCTCCAAAATTACATTTAAACACATTTTGTGGCAGGATAAATATGCTGTAACCTATATTAAATATGTGTAGTCTCAAGTGCATGTGGGTAACTTCGAGTTCTTTGAAATATAATCTAGTATAATTTTGTCACTGACTGAGTTTTAGTTTTGAACTTATTTCTAACTACAGTTCTACACAGATCAGAGTATCTAGTAATTACTGTGGGTTAACTTACCCCCTCATTTTAGTCTGGTGTCATACTTGTTGTATAGTAATAAATAACAAATTTATACTTCACCAAATATGCCAAAATTATACATTATAGAAATAATCACATATGTGCAGAATCAAGTTGTGCTTGTAAACATTAATTTCTACATTTCTTTCTCCATCTTTGTCTATCTTTTAATAGAAAAAATGCCTTTTATATTCTAGAAGATAGAATTGAACTTGAATGCCGGCAGCTTCTATAGACATATTTTACAATAGAAACATCTTTCTCCTCTGCCCCTTGCATGGGCAGGTCGATTTTCATTGAAAATGGCTTCAAGCTGGCTCTAATATTTACTCACTTATGCAGGTGCGTCCATCAGCATGGCGTCTGTACCCTGTATCACACACACAGTGGAAGGTGCCCAGAGTGTTAATACAGCGCTGCTGGCAGCCCCCATTCACCACCGCACATTCATCGATGTCTAGAGGAGGAAGACAGATGGCCAGGATTACAATGTCATTCCAATGTCAACTTCAGAGCAGTGCTACAAATACTTCTTTGATACACAGTATGTGTTATATTGTACAAAAGCACCATCTCTGTTACCACAAATCTATGCTTGTTTGATCCATTTTGCTCCACACCATGTAAACAAGAAAATATAGAAGGAAAGGTTATTGAGTTTTTGGTTTGTTTGTTTGGTTTTTTTTTTTTTTTTTTTTTTTTTTTTTTTTTTTTTTTTTTTTTTTTTTTTTTTTTAGAACAGCAACCATGAACATTGTGATTGTCTCACAATTTACTGTTCCTCATGCACTGGCTAATTAGACAGATCTGAGATAAAGATATTTCCTTGGGGAAAGAAAACTGGAGGAGAGAATTACAATGAACTACTCTCTCAGGAGCAGCACACACTAGTAGGTAAACACCTATTCTTGGTCTGACAGCACTGAATAAAGGCAGTAATGGAGTTAAGACCTTGAGTCTCCTTCTCATGTGCTACAGTAGACATCAGAGCAAAGACAGATGACTCAAATGAAAACACGGCTTAGTGTTCTCAGAAAAACATCAATACGTTGGTCCCACTAATTTAGCTTCTTGTTCAAGTGGCTATTTCCTGAAACACTGTCTTTGTATAAGAGATTGGTTATTAACTTTTAGACTAAAATGGAAAATAGTCAAGAAAAACTTACAATTACCTGTTTTATTATCAGTAATAAATACTACCAGGATTCACAAATACAATATTGATTCCTCACTGAAAAATTATTTCATTTCCCAGCACTTACACTTCCTTGTGTCTCATGCAATAACTATTTACATTTTTAAAATTACAAGAAAACAAATTTTAGGCTGTTCATGAATTAAAAACAAAATCCTAAACTTTCTTATTTGGAGGCTTGTGTAAGTGAAAATGAGGGCTGAGTGTGCTAGGAAGTGCCTGTAATCCCAGAGGTCTGGATTTCAAAGCCAGAGAAAACTAAATTCCAGATTAATCTAGGCTATGTAACTGGGAGGGGAGAAAGGAGCAAGTGGGGAGGGAGGGGAACATCTTTCTGCAAGTTTCACAGTAACAGTCATCTCCTGGCTTGGGGTGTGGATTTCAGGGGATAGTTAGATTCTCACTGCCCTTAATCTCAAACCTTCTGGAAACGATATTTCATGTGAACAGTCTTTCCTAAAATATGAGTCACCCACTGGAAAGTTCATCTGTCCATAAGGAACACAAAAAGCTGCTACGACAATGACTATCACTGCATATCTCCATGTCAAAATCTCAGGATTGGGAAGGAATATTTGACCAAAGGTAGCTAAAGGGTTTGCATTTACCTGGCATTGATTTTGTCTTTTCTCAAATGAAAGTGATAGTATATTTTCCACAAATTCGGCATATCTTTTGAAAAATATTCTGGATGAAGTCCTAATATTTTGAAAGTAAATTTTATTTCAGAAATAAGAATTACTGATGTATCAAAATGCAAGAATTTTTATTACATTCTGAGTCTGTGGTAACCTGACCTATAGATCTTTTTCTTATAAAATAATGTTAAACCAGAATTCTCTAGTTGTTGCCTATTCTTTGTGCAGGGATTTAATACCTATCTAGGTTACATTTTTATCTTTCTGTCTTTGGGGCATTATTCTGCAGAGTTGAGATATAATTCTGAATCTTAACTGTCAGCCTCTAGATTAGACATACTTCCAAGATCTTTCATTTTGGACATATAAATAAAACTCTTAAATCCCAAGCATATTTTACGTTACATGATAAATGACATTACAACTATCATGAATCATACAGTAACATTTTATATGTGTGTACATATAAATTGAAAAGGGTCTTAAAATATGTGAAAAAAAGACCCCTTTTCTTCTGATGAGGACAGACAGGTGTATTCCAGGATGGAACAGGCCTTCTATTGATGGGGTAGGGTGTTAGACAACTTTTTAAAGCTTTTTTATTTTAAGTGAATGTGTATTGCCTGCTTGTATGTCTGTGGATCATGGGCACATAGTGTCCACAGAGGAAGGCTTAGCATCCCCTGGAACTGGAATTACAGATGGTTGTGAGCCTCCATGTGGGTGCTAGGAACAGAACCCCAGTCTGCTGCTACAGCAGCCAGTGCTCTTAACTTCTGAGCCATCTCTGCATCCCCTAGACAAAATAGTTTAACCATATCTCTAGGGCTCAAGTTTGTTATAAGACAGAAAGCCACATAGATGCTACTTGTGTATGAAAAACATAACTTTAATATAAAGTTTATTCTCATAACTGCCCCCCATGACTTACTCACAAAGTTTTAATATTTTCTCATCAAAGACACAGAGTTCATAAAAAAATTTAAAAATCATTGATTATTCTCTCAAGATATAACAGGTACAGTCTTGACAATGAGCTTTCTATACATAAGCTTTGATATGTTTATATTCTTAGTATACCTTCAACTATGCACTCTGCTGCACATGCATGCGCGCGCGCACACACACACACACACACACACACACACACACACACACACACCACCAAATAGCCTCTGTTCTTTGAGTCATATAGTCTTGAGAAAACAAATTCTAGTGCTGGCACTGATCAGGGCATCATACTTGCTTGTTGGAGACTGCTTCCTCATCTATAAAACAGGCTGATAAGGGGGTTCGTGTGTACCATGCCATGATTTATTTATTCATTTTATCTTGTTCATGCATGACATCCTGAAATAGATAATTCTTGATAGCGTACATACATACTAAACAACAGGTCATTTTGTGTCATTAACTGGTAGAGTTAACAACATGAGATCATGAAATGACACTGTGGGACAGTAGAAAAGAGCAATAGGATTCAGAGGGGGAAATGTTTGGCTTACCATGAGAAGTGGGGGATAAAATGAGAGCTGCCTGGAAGTGATGGGCATTCAAAGTCGCAACAAATGCAATGGATACATTTAGATCTGTCGGGCTGGACAACATGCTTTGAAAATGAAATAAAACTGAAAAATAAACCCCAAACTTCCTTTCATTAGTTGGATAGAAATGTGTTCCTTGTCTTGATTCACCACATAGTCTTGGGCAGGTTGAAACATAGCAGCCCGAGTTCACACGGCAGACAAGCAAACCTATTAAAATTTAAAAACTCGATCATTTGTGAAGTGCCACCAAACACTAAGATATTGGTTTGACTTTTTACTTTATTATCCTCTTTTAGAAGATAGCAACTTTGCTGGTTGTTCTGACATTGTGAAATCAATAGTTCTCAAACCTGAATGCATGTTAGAACAACTTGGTACACATTTAAAAATGCCGATGCCAAGGTTCCACTTGAGTCTGATTTAATCAGTCTCCTTATTAGGTCTGGGAAAGCAAACGGTGTTAGAAAGCATCCTGAGGGGTTCTAATGCCTGAGCCAGGATCACCTGGTGTAGTTAAAGCTTTAATTACCCAGAGACGTTGTTAAAGGTAGAAGCTGATTCTCTGCCTCTGGGGCTTCCAGTTGAGATTCTGCATACACAGCTAGACCCAAGGTGATCTGGATACAGTTGGCATGGGGGTCAGAAGGAGCAAGCATACAGGTATGCCAGGAGGATCATTGGTGTGACGATCTGACTCAATTGCACAGTAGTTTAAGCAAGTTGACCAAATCAATCCAAATATTTAAATCAGTACACCAATCAAATTATAAGCATATGGATGTGTGTATGCATGTATATTTACATATATAAACACATACTACAATACTGAGAATTATCCAACATTTTATTACTATGAAACCTACAAAAATTGACTTCTAAAATTGTCCATAATAGTCACTCTAATAATAATATCAAGAAAATGTCAGAGTCACTTCTCATGAAATTCAATCTGCTTCTGTAAAATATGAAGGAAACCTTAGATCTTTTCTACCAGAGTGTGTCTGATTTAAGATGTATCTGAGCTGAGCTGTCAGGATGCTAGGCACTCATGCTGAGGCTACCACTCATGATTTTCCTTCCCTCCAGATTCTGCCCAACAGAGTTAAAAACCAGAAATGTCAATATTACATTAAAATGTTATTATCAAGTGTACTTCATGTGAAGAAACAATTTCTCACAAAATTCTCTGAGTTCTGTTCTCACATCAGATGCCTACAAAAAGCCTTGCCCTTAGAATTGGAACTCCAGGACACTGCTGGGAACAATGATGAAGTCATTAGAAAATTTTTTCAGTATTATCACTGTGATATGGACCCTGGATATCATACTGTAAGAGACTGTCAAAAACAATCAACTATGTCTGTTGTTTTTCCTTTTAATATCCTTTCTGCTGGATTTACCCTCCAAACTATTTCCCCAGATGGTCACAGAATATAATAGCTTAAAAGAATTCACATTATTATCAAATGTGCTTTGCACATAAAAGCTCTCTGAGAGAACAATGACCCACTTTTGTTACTGTACAATCGAAATTGCTTCATGTCATTTTTTTTGTTTAGATTTTGTGACCATTTTCCTGAGAACTAAAGTAAAACAAATCACTCCTCCATTTGCCCCATAATACACTCTTTTCAGAAACTTTTTGATTGGACATAAGCAGTGGTGGCATAGGTGAGAGAAAGATGCCTCCCCCTCCATGCCTTGCTACGTGCTGCACAAGAGAGAGAGAGAGAGAGTCGAGAGTCGGCCCGGGGTCATGAGAGTGACAGGGCCAGCCTTGCCCCCCACTAGCTGCCACACACAGGAGAGCAGATCCTGAACCTTTCCTGGATAGCACACTAGAGCTGACCCGTTGAATGGGTTGCTGGTGGTCTGGACCTGAGAATGTGAGAGCAAGAGAGCTGACACCCCCCCCACCCCCATACATCACGTATACCCCTTGCAGCAGTCGGGAGAGAGAGTCCTGCACTTCACAAAATAGTAGACCTGACCTGGGTGGTGTGAATGTGAGTGGGCTGGATCTGGGGACCTGAGAACCACAGAGCTGGCCCTGCCCCTTGTGACAGGAGCTTTGTGC